CCAGGGTTGATGGTAAACAAAAAGGGAAGTTCCGAGAGAGCTGGGATCACAGCTTTCCTTTATGATGGGTCCAGTGTGGGGCTGATATGCTTCCTACATCAGCAATGCCCCTATAAACACCTCTTCTAACACCAGTCCCCAAAGTCCCGTTCACAGGCCAGGCCCAGGAATCTTTTTTTTTGTTCTCAGAACCGTGTTTTCTCCTTCATTTACACCCGGGATTGAGAGGAGATAAAACATATGGATTCATTTAACATGGACAACAAGGAAAATTGCATAAGAGCAGCAAAGCCGGGTGGAGAGAATGGTCTGGTGGGATAGGAGGAAAACTGGATTACAGACCTTTTCCTATTCATATCTATATGGTGTCATGTGAGCAATCCACAGGACAGACTCTTCACCAGCTGTAATATCAGAATGCTATTCTGACAGCTAAGTTTCATTTGTTCCCCATGCCAAAGCGCCCCAAACGTAGCTTAGCTATATACCTTTGACAGAAAAGGTTGTAAACCACCAAGGACTCCATACTGAGGATTTCTGGGGAAGGAGAAGGGAAGGCTTCTCCTCTGTTCCCATCCAACTATACAGCCAACTGCATTTATTCATTTAACAAAACAATGTGTACACCACTCCACCAGAAATCCCAGAATATTCACACCCTCCTCTCCACACACAGAGGCTTAACATTCATCCTGTCCCTGTCTTTAAGAAACTTCCAACCTACAAAACCACTCAAAACGACACCATGTTGTAAAATTCAGGGTCACAATCTCAGAGGCAAGCAATGTTGGTCTGGAGTAACCCAAGTGACAGTGATAGGAAGGATGAGTAAGTTTCAGGTGGAGGAGAGGAAAGCAAGGGGCTCCTCACTGGGGACAACTGAGGAAGCAGCAGGAGCAAAGACGCAGGGAGATATTGGGTTGCAACGAAAAACATAGAAAAAAATACGTCATGACTTTTCCGACAACCCAGTAAATGTGCATGGCATGGATAGAGGAGAGCCACAGGGAAACTGTCTCGAGTCAGACTGCGGGAAAAGGAGAGCCACTGCAAGTTTATGGATAGGGGAGTGACAAGGGGGAAGGAGTGCTTTAGGAAGAATGATCTAGCAGCTGTGTACAGACTGTATCAGAAGGACCAGAGGAAGCAGAAGGGGGAGGGAGACCATGACAACAACACAGGCCTGACATGGGACAGCAAGGCAACAGAAAGGAAAAGGAGGGAGATATAAAAAGGAGAGACCTTCTTCTCTGGCTAAATGCTCCAGAGCAAACCCTCCTAAACATTTGATCTGACTGACATGAGACTCCTGCCAGGTAAGAGCCTGTCAAAGAGGGAAACCATTGTTTTTGGCAATTCCCCTTTATATTCCAGTGGCTGGACCAGGTCGCCTCCTTACTGCCACCAAATTAATCACATACTGTGTAGCCCTGGAGAAGGCACGAGGGCCTTGACATTCTTCATCGTTCTCCGAAACCTAGACATACAATTAAATTCTCAGAGAACAAACTTTAGTCTCCTGCATGAGGTAATACCTCTGTTTCCCACAAGCCTCAACTCCGCCCAGGCTGGGGTCTAGACCCTCCTGGGGAGGGAAATGGAGGGTGGCCACGAATGAACTCAATGCCCATACTAAGCAAGGCTGAGAGGCAGCTTTCCCAGAGTGAGATTACAGCCAACCACAACTGGGAGCAGCTCCTAACCAACACCTACCTGAAGTGGGACTCCAACCCAGGTTATCAACTAAAGTCCATATTCTAAACAGCCCGAGTCTCCCCATCTTTGTGCTCCCAGTTCTTCCAGTAAGTGGTCACATGAGGGGGCACGGGAATTCTGAGTGGGTTTTTACAAATGGAAAACAGCATCTAGTTTACAGCTGGTCACTGGTGGGGTGAGAGACACTCACAGCTTAAGCCACTGGTTCCCGCATGTCCTCCAGCTGGCCAAGGACAGCAGTATCCCTCCAGGACATGTGGTCCCTATGGGGTCCTTTTCTCTTTTTTCCGGAAGACATGGGGGTGGGGAAGATAGAGAGGAACGTCTCTCAGGTGGCACAAAGGAAAAGGACTGGAAACCTTTTTTATTTAATCATTAAATTCCTGCCTGAATTTATAAACTCATTTTATTTCCCTATGTGGATACCTTCTTCAACTAAAGAAAAGTGCTGGAGGCAGTTGAGGACGGATTTCTGACACATATTTGGGGGAGTGTCTCCTAGTCCGCAATCCAACTGGTCTCTGCCCTCTTAAAACTGTCGACAATGGGCGACTAGAAGATGTCCCAGGTGGGATTAAACCTCTGCCAGTAGGTAGACTGCTTGCTGAAACCCCTCATTCCAGGCAGGCTCCAGAGTGGCTAACCGGACTGTCGTCTCGGTGAGTTCAGCAACCTGGTCGTCACCAGCCAGGCCCTCCGGGTGCACACAATCACCTCTGCCCCTGTGCCCCTCCACCCTGGCCGGGTCGACCCCAATCTTCCCAGAACCGCGGGGCGATCCGCGGCTGGAGAGGTGAACCAGTGTCGCAGCTCCTCCCGGCGGGCGCCCCGGCCCCCGCAATCCCCGGGGCAGAGTCCGGCCCTGCCGCCCGCCCCTCGGGGTGGGTGGCTCGGACCCGCTCCCCTCCCCGACGCCACCACCTGCGCCCGCTCCGGCGCCGCCTTTGTCCGGCGCTTCACCGCTAAGCGGGCCCCTCGGGCCCGACCTGACCCGGCCCCCGGCCCCAGAGGAGGGGCGGCGAGGCGGGCAGGGCAGGGCAGGACCAGGCCGGACCGCGAGCACGGGGTCCCGCTGTCACTTGGAGGCGGTCTGACAACTTCGACTCCCCCCGCCCCACCTCGGACTCGGCCGCCGCTCTGCACGGTCTCCGCCGGGCCTCCCGCGGCCCACACTCGCTTCTCGAACCGCTTCCCTTCCGTCTTCGGCGCCTCCCTTCCTCTCAGCCCGATCCGGTCCGGTCTACACTACCCCCCGCCTCAGCGCGGCCCCCATCCCCAGCCCCCCCATCCAGCAATAACCGGTCAGCTCCCAGCGCGGGAGGGCGCCCCCAACCTTGAGCGGGCGATCCCGCGGCGCCGCCCCCGGCCTCGGCCCCTTGCCTCGGGGACCGCGATGGGGGAGGGGGGCCGGCTACGCCGCTGCGAGGAAGCAACCGGCGTCCTCCCGCCCTCCGCGGCCCGGGACGCCCGGGCCGCCGCCACCCGGCCGAGCTGCCACCCTGCGGCCGCCACCCACCCCGCCCCCGGCCAGCGAAGCGAGCTGCCCCGGGGGGCTGTCACCTCGAGGCGTGCCGCGCTCCCCGATGGCGGGACCGTGGCGCCGGACCCGGAGGAGGGAGGCGGCGCGAGCGAGCGGGCGGCCGCACCTGCTTCGCGTCGGCCGTCCGTCCGTCCCTTCCCGGGCTGGCGGGGGCGGCGGCGCGCTCGGTGGGACGCGCTGACGGGCGGCCGGTCCTCTCCCCTTCATTCGTCTGCCTCCGTCGCTCGCTGAGTCCCTCCAGCCCGCTCGCCCCTTCCCCCCTCCTCGACCCCCGCCCTTAGCTCACCGGGACGGCGGCGCGGACGGCGCGGCTCTGGGAGCCCGCAGGCCCCGGCCGGGCTGGAATCCGGCGGCTGGAACCCCCCGGGGGCGCTCAATTCCCGGGCTCCACGCTGCTGCGTCAGCGCCTCCTCCTGGGGGCCGGGGCCGGGCGGGCGGAGCGGGGGCCGCGGCCGGGCGGGGCCGTCGGGGGG